CCGGCAGGTCTCCGCGGGAGGTGGCCTGTCCCCGCCGGAGCGGTGTCCCTCAGGAGATGCAGCACGCGGGTGACTCTGGAGGGTGTCAACAGGCCCGTCATAGACCGCATCATCCGCGTGGACCACGCCGGGGAGTACGGGGCGAACCGCATCTATGCGGGGCAGATGGCCGTCCTGGGTAGATCGAGCGTGGGACCGATTATCCAGGTTAGTGATCGCCTGAAAGCGGTCGCCGTGTCTCTGGTTAATTTGCCTTTGATTAACAATGGTCGGATGAATTTGTAAGATCACAGCTTTCCTGGTAAGATAAATAAATCCATCTTTTTCTAAACACATTTGAACACGTGAGTTTATAAAGAGTGGGGGGATTAGTTAGTAAGGGAGTTACCGGTACTGCAATTGCTGTAGTATTATCAGAAAGACTTTTATTTTGTAAATGTTTTTATGTTGCCTATTTATAACTATCCTCATCTGCCCTCTTTAACATTTCTTCTGTGTGATGTGAACAGTGTTACCTCTGCAATCGAAGTGAGTGGCCTGAGCTGGTTTGTTTTTCTTTGTGTTTATTAGTTTTATTGGAAATGTTATTTTTTTTCTGGTCTTATACTTTACTCTGATCTGGTTCTTTTGCAGCAAATGTGGAATCAAGAAAAAGACCACCTGAAAAAGTTCAATGAACTAATGGTTGCATACAGGGTTCGACCTACTGTTTTATTGCCTTTTTGGAATGTAGCAGGTTTTGTTTTAGGTGAGTTTGTATTGTTACTACTCTTGTTTTGTGAAGTCTTCAAAGGTGTAAGTTATCTATTGCTTCAGATTTCATTGTTTGTATATGTTTGGTACCACAATCACAGGGGCTGGAAGTGCTTTACTTGGAAGGAAAGGTGCGATGGCTTGCACAGTGGCAGTGGAAGAGAGTATATCGGATCACTACAACAGCCAGATCCGAACTCTTATGGAAGAAGATCCAGAAAAGTACAAAGAGCTATTGCAGGTATTTAACTATGACTTTAAAAGTAGTTTAACATATTCATTGAATTATCTAATGTGCCTTCAGTCTTTTAAAATAACATATTCTTAGAATTTACAGTAGATCTCTTTTTGTTCTATTACTTAGAATGCTGAAATCAACACAAACTTTAAGTTAAAAGGATATTTTTTTCCTTCAGCAGCACTAAATTGATCAAGGACCAAAATTAAAATGTATGTTGGATTAGCTTCAGCGTGCTTTCAGTAGTGCAGCATTTCCCTTTTGGTTGGGAGAACTATGCTTTAATTTTGATTACCTTTAATTGAAAGGAAGGGTTTAGAGGGGAAACTAAAGAAGAAAATATGATTGTGTAGTAACATTTGGCTTATACTGATATGATTATACAGTTTTAGTGTTGAATACTGTTCAGAGCACGTAAGGAGCTGATGTTTGTTACCTCTGCAAGAAAATTATTTCCCAGGTATTTTAGGCATCAAACTGGGACACGTTCCTGTAGGGTGCCTGTCAGGGACTGACCTGTTTCCACATGCAGCACATCGAGCTCCGTTTGTGCTGTCTTTGGTGGAGCTTGCTTTAGGGTCTGTGTGTTCATTTCCATTTTTGCTGACTATCCATATGTTCAGTTGTGCTTAGTTTAACATGTAGCCAAGTCTGGTTACTCCAAACGTGTCTTTTTGTTACAGAAATAGTATCTGAAGTAACCCAGATTTTGCTGACACGTGCACAAGGGAAATACTACCCCTGAAAATAAAGACTATAAACTGAGAAGGCACAAAATAAAGAGAAAAAGCTAAGCAGCAAGGTTATTCACAAGGTCAATAGGAGCAGGACTAGAAATGAAACCAGAAGTGATGGAAACCTGTTGGGTAGGGACAATGCTTGGGTGTCTCTCTGACAATTTTATTAAGCAATCCTAATCATCTGCAGGCATCTCAGGAGAAAATTCTTAAAACCTTTTTGTCCCAGTTGAAAAACTAGTAGAGAAAAATGGTGTTCTTTAGAGTATGCTAGGATGGACAAAAGCCCTGTTGGCTTACAGGGAAACACCCTTACCAATTATCTATTGAGGCAGGGACCTTAATTTCATTATTTAAATTGTGAGAATAATTTATATGTGTGGACCTAATTAGTGTTATGAGTTGTGGTTACTGTGACTATGGGTTTTCCTGAAAAACTGAAGAAGATAGTGATATATTAAACAGCAGCTTAGCTTTTAAAGACTTTTCTGAGAATATTAAAAGAACTTTAGGTTTGGGGAATGCTGTAAATAAAGCTCTTCTTGCTGAATCGGAGATTCAGGTGTCTGTCCTGGTGCATGTAGTTTTGTATACTAACTGCCTTGGTTTCTCTGCCAAGTAGACTTACTAATTACCTGCTACTTTTAAAGATAATAAAGCAATTTCGGGATGATGAACGGGAGCACCATGACATTGGGCTTGAGCATGATGCAGAAGCAGTAAGTACAATTTTAACTAATTGGCACTATTAGAGAGAACGTAGATGTAATATTCTTCCTTATTCAGCGACTGTGATGTATGTCTTCATTTGAGAAATAGAAAACACACTTGATATTCTTTCCCAAAGATAAATATAAGAAAACACTGCATGTTATAGCTTTTGTTTTTCTAGAACAGAATTGAATCTGTTGGAACTCAAGTGTTAAAGTGATTGTGTTTTCCTGAGAGGTGTCCTCTGCACAGTTCTTAATTTTATTTTCACTTTAGATTAAATATTTTTGAAGATAAGGCTAATAAGTGCTATCCATACAGCTGGGAACTTGAGGCATCATCTTGGTAGATGAATACAACCATGTTAAGAAATGTGAAATACTGAACTACATTCTGTGCTCCCCTGAATGCTGTATGAGGAATGTGTGACTTTTTTTTTCTTTTTTTTTTTCTCTTGACTTATATTTGTGGAGAAGTGGAAACATTCTGCAAAGTTGGTAGTTTTTAATTTAGTTTTCTCTAGGGTAGATTAGACTACAAATGTAGGCTTTTTTGCTGGTGGGTTTTTCTCATTTATGGTTTTGCTTCGTTTTGTGGGTTTTTTTATTTTTTTAGATAATGCTTAGTATTTCTTACCACAGCGTGGTTCAAACAAAACACTTCATTAAATGTATTGAGTCTTTTATTCTTTGTTTTACAGGCACCAGCTTATTCCGTTTTGAAGACAGCTATACAACTTGGATGCAAAGCTGCAATATTTTTATCAGAAAGAATTTAGTGATATTTTCCATAATGTTTGTGGCAGTGAACTGTGACACAAAAGTGTATGGAAATTGCCAAAGACTAATAGTTATTTTAAAATTTTCTTCAATAAGCATCTGATTCAGCCATCCTTTGTCACATTGAGTACCTGTTCAAAAAGTATCTATATTAAAGTCAGTTGAGCTACATGTGAATCAGGATGGCAGAATTGGGTCCATATGAACTAAACCTCCTTATTCAGAGACTGTTCACAAGGTGGCAGCAAAATCTGTATGTATATACATGATTTTTATATATATAATGTGTGTGTATGTGTACACACACATATAAAAATGGTGAATACATTCTCTGTTGCCTTCACACTTACATGTACTTGAAATAAGCTGGAGCACATCAGCTCATTTTAAAACGGTTAATACTAAGTAGGATATTTTTGAGTTCTATTTTCAGGGTAAGGAAATGAAGTACTAGTAAATATTTCTTTTCAGTCTGTCTTGAATAAAGATTGCTATTATAACACTTTCATTTGAAGACTTGTTTGTATTTTTGGGGGGGTGTCAGGCTCAATTCTGAATTCTTTATTTAAGTAGAAATTTTCTTCCTTTGGGTTTTGTTGTTGGGTTTTATTGTTGTTTTTTTTTTTTTTTCATCCTGAATGCATTTGTAAGGAATTGATCCCTGATATAAAGCAGGTGGAGAGAGCAACTTGAAACAGCTGTGGAATCGCACTTGATACTCTGTTAGAGCTTTCAAGTTTATCTTGCTTTGCTTCTAGTCTTCAGTGGCTCTTGAATAGAGACGCTCCTGCTTTCTCCATGGTCGAACATTTTCCGCACGCTTTCTGCTGGCGTCCTGGCATGGAGCAACAGAAATGAAAAAGACAAAGTTGTGCATGTCTGTTCTGTTAGATGCTAATCGGAGATGATAAAAGTACAGCAATGGAATTAGAATGTCTTAAACCGGTAGGGATGAAAGGGACTTTGTGCAAGATTGCATCTCTTGTTCTTTTTGTCTTCAGAACTTACTGACCGTTGTTTTCCTATTACATCATTATGGAAATAGGATCACTTTGCAAATGCATATGGATAATATAGAAGATGCTGATATTTTGATATAATCATTTAAAGTCTCTGTGAGAGACTTCCGTTTTTATAGCTGAGAAGTGCGATCTTTTTGACTGTATGTGGTCTGGGAGGGAGACCCTATGAATGAAATTGTGGGTCACAGAGAAAACACATATCTGTGCTTTTCCCCTTACATACATGCTTTGGGGAGTCACAGCTTGTGTAACTGCTAATGTTTTTTTTCCCCAATTTTACAGGTTTTCAGATTTCTACAGGTTTGTGGGTTTTATTTTGGTTGGTTTTTGGTTTTTTTTTTTTTTCTCAATAAGAACAGCCGAGCTTGGCAGATCAGTGAGCAGAATTGTCTTGCATCTTGTTTTCCGGTTAAAAGCTATGATGTATTAGAAGTCAGTATTTTTTAGCCCAAGCAATGGGGTATAACGGATTGAACAGGTCAGCTACAGCTGTGGGATGTAATGGGTATAAACCTAGTTGAAAAGGAGAGAATTGGAAAGCAGGACATAAAACAGTAGCAAGTGTTGCCCGTTGCTGCCATGAGGAATGGGGCTGGCACTGCCAATCTTCAATTTTACCTTATATGGCAAAACCACAGTTATATTGGGGCTGGTTAAGTAATTTGATGAAGTTTTGCTGTGTGCTTGTTCCAGTTCTGTTGTGCGGGCCAAATGCTATGTACTGACTTTGTAGCTGCTTTGAGACCAGAGGAGGATAAGTGCAGAGTTGCTGCCAGGAATCCACGACCACGCACCTGGGAGCTTGGTGAGGCTTTTAGTCCGGGTACATCTGAGTCTACCTTTTTGAGTAGCTCTGTTAGTGTTTGTAGGTACTCATTGGTGTGTAATTTGACATGAAAGACTTCTTAGAGAGGGTTATTTTACCTTATTTTTGAAAGAGCTTAGACTGAAAGCTAAATCTTAGCATAGAAACTCCTGTTCTGTATGACTTATTATGACTGACGCTTCGTACGTTCTTTAAGAACAATTTCTGTCATTTACACCGTTGCAAGGTTATACTCAAACTACTGATGCTATTTACATTGTCTAAACAAAGCAGCGTTTGGTTCTGTCTCTCTGACTGGTTTGCACGCCCACTGGAATAACTTGACTGGAGGAACTCAAAGTGAAATCACAGATTTCTCACAGACTGTGGAATAAGAATATAGCTCTAAGGGATTCTCATTTTACTTGTCTCAGCCCCAGACAGCTGTGAGCAGCATGCACATAAACTGGAGTTCATTAAAGGTATGTTGTATTAGATTAACTCATATCTTCCCTAACTTGACCAATTCTCTGAACAAAACTTACATCTAGAAGACTTCTTGCCTTGATTTCTCTAAAGCATTGGATATACTGGCATGTGGAAAATTCCTAGGGAATTTGGAGAAGAGAGGAATCGGCACAAAAGAACGGTTAATTAAAGTGGCTAAAGGGGTAACAAGTGGTGTTGAAAGAACATGCAGTGTAGTCGTGTGAGTCATGGACTTTAATAATTGAGTAAAAAGAAGAAATAAGATTGCTTGATGAATAGTCATTTGCAAAGTCTTTAGTAACGGGGGCAGCACGGGATGGCATCTTTTATAAGTTCCATTATTAGAACCGGGGAGGGAGGGGCACAGTACACTTTGACTCAAAGCTGGAAGTTGCACACCCATGTGTACAATGGGCTTGTGATACAAACTGGAAACCGAGCCAGACAGTTTCCTGGTCCCTTAGCAGTTACATCAGGATTGAAAACTGGACAAGGCATCCATGGGGCTTTCCTTGATAGATGACACTCAGCTGAAGCCTGATATTCCCCAAGGTGGTGGTGGCAGAGGGATTCTCTGGAGATATCTGCGGTGGTGGCCAACAGTTGTGGAATTTGCTGCTGACAGAGAAGCGTTCGTGTGATCCTCCCTCCAAGATGTGGGTGGCCTCTGAGATCATCACACGCTGCTCACTTGGGGCAAGAACATTTGAGAGGCAGATCTCATTTTTAATGCGTTTAGTTTGGCCAAAGGCTGGGAACGTCAAATACCAGGGAATTGTCGTATGAGGTCAGTGTGTTTGGCCATATCTGCAGTAACTGAAAGTGCTCACAGCGGGTTCTTTGTGCTCGGCAGCTGACAACATCCTGCGCGTTTGAGCAGGCCGTCAGACAGTCACACGGTCTCTAGCTGCGAGCATAGCATATGAATCGGGAGAACAACTCTGCTTTATGCTCCTGATCAGGATTTGTTCCTTCTTTTTACTGGAGCAGCATATTTGTGCCCATCCATTAAGGCGTGGGTGTGCTGTTCTCATGGCACTTCCAATGGCTATGCATTTCTCTGCTCACTGGTGGTTACTCTTTATTTTTGTTGCTTTAAATGGAAAATGGAGTTGCTTTTCATTTTCCCCATGCAGAAGGGATGTGTTGTGTTTTTTGTTTTTGTTTAAAAAAAAACTGTTTCAGATTTTGAAAGACTACAAAAGGTGGTAGAAGGTTACAAAAGAGCTGGAGATGCTCAAGTGCTGTGCAGAACTTCTATTGTACAGCTGCTGCAAGGCTGTAGTTTCTTTTTATGTGTTATTTTCAGGCAGAACTAAAGCTGTAATGTCAGTCATTCTGGCAGGGGTTAATGGCAGGCGGAGGCCAAAGTATACAGCTTGTACAAGTCTGTTATCATAGCGATTCTGGATGAACTCTGGTCGTGTTGACAGAGGAAAAGGAACTTGGATCAGACAGGGAGGCTGTGAAACGCTGCATTCTCAAAACAGGGCAGGGAAGATGATGGGGTCTGCACTGTGCCTTTGGGTATTAGGGGTCTCTTCTGAGCCTGAAGATAAGCAGGGTCTTGTAATATGCAGTGGGATGAAATCCTTCCCCTCAAAGTAATGATGGTTTGTCGAGCTCCTGTGATAACTCAGGGCTTGATCCCGATTTTTCTCCTCCAGGAGGAGAGAGAATATAATTTTTTGGTGAGGAGGATGCTGTGTGTCTAGGGAGCATAGGGCTGTTATCAGCCCCTTGATCAGGGTGTCACTTCTCACTGTTTTCTCCTACAGTCAGTGCTGGGGACGATCTGGCCCCTATTCTCTGAAGCTGCTCCGAATTGGAGATGAAGGTAATGAAGGCGCTTGGAGGCCAAGTGACTCGGCCAGATGGTGTGGTCCTTGTGCTGAGCACTGGGCGCGTTTTCTGATGCTCTGACAGCTCTGCAGCAGGATCTCTGAGCTTGCAGGCACCGCTCCTGGCTTGGGAGGAGGAAAGCCCAGCAAAGGAAAGCAAACAGGCAACAGCAGCTCTGTCTCACGAAGTGAGAAGGATGGTTATGAAAATTCAGAGCAGCTCCGAAGACCTGTGGCCCAACAGTAATAACTCTAAAAGCTGCCATAGTGGCAAGGCACACGTGGTGTCACAGCAGTGCAGGTCTGGCTGTGCCAGTACGTGCCTCAGCCTCTTGCTGCCGTGGCTAGGCAAAAATCACATCCCCGTGGCTGTGATTAATGTGGTGATGCTGATGTAAGCTGAACGGACTTATGCCACGAGTTATGTAAAATGGGACTCAAGAGTGTTTGGCAGAGAGTGAAATCATTGTCTGAGATGATAAATATTACCAATAGAAGAAATATCAGATATAATGGGCTTGATCTTTGTCTGGAGTAAATCTGTGTTGCTCGCTTAAGCATATTAAAGCTAGGCTTGCTACAGATCGATTGAGGATATGCTATACAATTCCTGTGCTGGAGGTGATGTAGATTGTACCTCCCTACTCTTACCATTTAAGGGGCTACTTAATGTGTACCGTCCCTTGTGTCTGCCAGTAATTTTTTGTCACTAGCTTCAAAGTTGTGGCATGTCACTTGCATTGAATTCCTCACATATTTTCAGCTTGGGGAGCTTAAAGGGATAAGTTAAAAAAAAAAAATAAATTAGTTAGTTTAAAGGATGAATGTGTGTGATAAGAGAGGAGATTGTGTAAAGGTACTATTGTTCCACTTCTTAATTCAGTTTC